AGCGGAGAGAAGTTCGTGGGAGACAAAAGAAGCAAGAAGATGATGGGGCGGCCTCCGTCTGTGTGCTTTTTGCGTCTAGCTGGAATCGTCAGCATAGGGAAGTGCTCGTCTCGTTGTTTACGTCTTCGAGGTTGTGACGAACATAGGGTTTGGACTCTGAGAAGACATTCCATCTAGCTTTCCCGAAGGATCCGTATGAGACGAGAGCGAAGTAGAAGAAGAAGAGCAAAACCCACCAGAAAACATTGTTGTTCATTACTTTTTCGCTCCGACCCTGCTCCTACTTTCGGCCCCAGCTCCCTCCTCCTCCACACCAGAAAGGGCCTTCTATGGGTTTGCTTGGCGATGCAAGAAGCGAATATATACCGACTTGTGTGCTGTCCTATTTGTCACTGGATCTTCCTCCACTTTCTATAAGATACAGTTTGGTTACATCTCCTTGCTCGAGCCCAAATTCACTTGTTTTCTCTCGCTGATGAATTGAATCATCTATATATGTGTAGTAAATATTCTTGCCGTCTCCTCGACACGAAAAATTGGCTAGCCGAACATTACAGCCGATCGTAACCCAGTCTTAACCTTCAGCAGTCCGTATAACCTCTTCATCCCTTTACATAGTGTGGAGCTGTTGGCTTTCGGATACCCTACATATACGGGCACACAAGCTTCCAGGAGGAGAACTTCCTGCATAGATCCTTGCGTTATGATCGTGCTTCGTATATTTAAATGCAGTACGAGCCCTTGAGGTCTAGTTCAAGAAATCGCCACCAAGTGTCGTGTGGTAGTGCTGGAGACCGCCGGGCTCGTTTAACCGTTATTTCTCTACTCCGACCTCCCACTCATTCTCCTGTTAGGTTCTCTCTGGCTGCAAGGTCACGCCCTCTTCTACCGTCTGCTAGCACTACTAGTGACAGCTGCTATGGACAGAGGATGCGTCCGTAATCCCTCGCTGTGTTCTGTGGGCCCGCGTGCTGCAGGCCTTAACAGTGTGTTATCATGAGAAGCATGCACAGCAACCAGCCGGCGACCGACCGTCGTCCCAAACGATGACCGTGACCATCAGACGGAAAATACGCCTGTTTCAAGCTTGGCCTTCGTATCACTGCTATACGATCACAGGCGGCAGCCCGTCGGCTTTCTTGCCACAGATACGTATAAACAGGATGCCAGTGATGATCATGATCGTGTCGATAGTCGCGGTGATACTGGATGCTGATAATGATGGTGCCACTGCTGACGGCGTTATTGCCCGCAATGTTGCTGTTGCCGATAACGACGATGAGGCATGGACGAGCAGAGGGCAAACATACGGATTGACAGACAGAAGAGATAGGAAACAGATAGATCACATAGATTTCAACAACGTGCCTAGGTAGCACGTTATTTCAAGCTCTCGGCAGCACGAAGATGCGTCACAGATAGAAAAGCTGTGTCAGTAGGGACTTTACCGGAAGAGGCCCTGTTACTTCCGCTGAACTTAGCCCTGTGCCAGCTGTAACAAGTCAACGGAGCGGAAGAGTAAAGCGGACAACATGTTACTACCTTTGGCGTAGTCTTTTTTTTTCTTTTTTTTTTTTTTTTTTTTTTTTTTTTTTTTCTTGCATAAATGTTATGCGCGCACCTCCTCCTTGACCTTCGAGACTTTGGCTAGAACCCGGCTAAAACCCCAAAGTGTGCACGTAGTGCCTAAGTAAGCCTGTCAAACCGAAAGAGGCTCAGTGACCTTTTTACGCTACGAGCTAAGACGTTTGGCATAGAAACATTCGCTAGCCTAACGCAATACTATATGCACGTACATAAGACAACAATTGTTAATATACGCAGCACAAAAGGCACGTCGATGTATGCAGACCATTAAGCTGGTACGTATTCGGAATTTGTCTAACTCGACACTTAACTACAGCGCAACGGAATCGCAAAACAGTAAATGCAAATATAGAACTTGCCCAGCAGAAGCAACAAAGTAGGATTTTTTTTCATAAAAATTCTTACTAACGATATTATTTTCTCTATCAAAAAGACTAGTTCCAACCGAATATCGTACTTTTCAAAAAAATCTTTTTTCGGAAGATAAGGTTTATTATAGTTCTAAAGTTTTTGGGTCTGTTCGTCCGTTTATGTCTATAAATGTTAACTAAATAGATTTAACTTAGTATCGAAATCGAAAGTTCGGTCGATCGTGAAACTTCTTTAGTGTCTCTCGTATGGCCAAAAATATTTCACGTATATATACATATATGACGACAACGCGTGCGTTCTTTCCGCGTTTGAGATTTATCTATCTATACCTGCCCTCACGGGTTTAGATATAAGCTCCCAGCTTCTCTTTCGTGTTTTGTCTGCTTGATGGTAGGCCGCAAGAGGGCGAATTGTGTAATTTACTACTATTATATGTCTAACAGTCATTGTCGTTTGTTTAGTTAAATTTACCATCGAATTATCGAGTGAATGCGGAATTAGCAAGCAGCATGCGAACTAGTCGAATCTACGTAGAAGGTGACAGAACGGGTGGTGATCTGACAGCAGTTGATTATAAACTGTTTCCTTAACAGCAGCAGTTGAAATAAGCAATCCCAGCTAGAGCAATCTAAGCGCAGCCGTAGAGAGTAAGCAATCCTAT